ACTTTTGTTGTGATTTGGCGCTATATAAATAAAATTGAATTGAATTGAAGGATAAGTCTTGTTAGTGCTCGATCGCTAACAAATAAAACTTTCATTCTTAAGGACTTCTTCACTAATCAGGAACTGCATCTAATCCTTGTGACAGAAACCTGGCAGGTGAGTCCATCTGTTTTACGGAACCTTTACCTTCAGACTGTGAATATCTTAATTTAAATATCTTTTATTTATTTTTATTTTTTTAAGGATTTTTAACAGTTGTTGTGCCAGCCTGTTTTAAACATGCTGTTGTACAGCCTGTATTTAAAAAACCTAATCTCGAGTTCTCTTCTCCCCCAAATTTCAGGCCTATTTCAAAGCTTCCTTTTCTATCAAACATTTTGGGAAAGATTGTACTTGTTCAGCTGCAATCTTTTGTAAATGGACACTATGTTCTTGAGAGGTTTCAATCTGGTTTAAATCCTCTTCACTGAAACTACAATTTTAAAAGTTCTTAGTGATCTTTTATTAGCCACTGACTCAGGTGACTCAGCTCTGTTTCTGCTTTTGGATCTGACCGCTGCCTTTGATACTGTTGACCACATGATCTTGATCTCACAGTTGGAGCATTGCAGCATCAAGGTCATTCCATCAGTGGTTCAGGTCTTACCTGTCTGACAGGACTTTCTCTGTGAGCTTTGGAGATTTTATCTCTTCCTCAGCTCCCCTTACTTGTGGTGGCCAATTTTATTATCTATTTATATGCTGCTTCCAGGTCTATTTTTTGGAAAATATAACATGTTTCCATTCATATGCCAATGACACTCAGATCTGTCTTCAACTGAACAGAAACTGTTCTGCCCTACCTGAACCCTTACTTCAGTGTCTTGGTGAAGTTAAAGCCTGGATGCCTTCTAACTTCCTTAACTTTAATGAGAACAAAACCAAAGTGATCATTTTTGGACCAAGTTGCAATCCCAGCACGTCTCTTGTTAACCTGCACAGTATTGAGCCTTTTATTAAATTGCATGCCAAAAATGTGGGGGTTATACACTGTAAGAAAGAAAAAGTTGAGAAAACGTAAAATTTCAAGGCAACATGATGCAAGAGATTTTTGAGTTTTCTCAACTTTTGCAACTGTTGTTGACTTAACTAAGATTTACAAGTTCTGCCAACTTGGTTCTTCTTGTTCACCTAATTAGGATAA